GGCCCCCCCGGCGGGGGGGCGGCCCCCTCGCTCGAGTCTCTCCTCGGGGCCGCCGCCGGCGCCGCCGCACCCGCACCCGCACCCGCACCCGCACCCGCGGCCGGCCCCGGCGTCCCGTCGAGTGCTGCGGATGCGCCTTCCGCCGCCCTGTCTGCCGCGCCGTCCGCCGCGGCCGCCGGCGCCGCGTCGCCGACGCTGCGTCGCTCGGGCCGGCTGCACTCGTCCTCGCCGCTGCCCGACGCCGCCCCCGCACCCTCCCCCCTCGGTGGCGGCCGCTCGCCGTGGCGACGGCGAGCTCGGACCCTTCTCGGAGCCTTCTCGGAGCCTTCCTGTAGGAGGACGGTCCGACTCGGCCGCGTCGGGCGGGGTGCGGGCGCGCACTGAAGACGACGGCGCCGGCAGGCGAAGCAAGCGGCAGCGGCCGAACCGGCAGCCGTGAGCCGTGCGCATTGCCTTGCGCCCAAGCCTCTCCCCCCACACCAACCCACCTCACGCTTTGGAGCTACGGGGCGTAGGGCGAACCGGCTGCCGCGCTGCGAGGGGTGGCTTGCGGGCTGCCCCCGCCCCTAGGCCGCCGCCCTGCTGGCCGACCAGAGCTGGCTTCGCGCCTGCCGCACTCAGGCGGAGAAGGCGGCGCCGTCGGTCGGAGAAGGCGGCGGCGGGGTGGGGAGGGAGAGGGGGATTGGCAATGCAGGGCGAGCTGCTCGCGCGTCGAGGTCACAGGATCCTATGAGAGCTGTTTTGGGGCGGACGTGCCGCGCGCCATAGCGGGCGAGCGGGGAGTCGGTTATCCCGCCAACTTCGCCCGCGGCGCAAACTCCGACCATGGGGTGACGGGTCGTCGGGAGATGTGTCATGTGTGCGCGCGTTTATATGACACCCACTCACACTCCCCGCGCCGCCGGGGGGACGGAGTCCATGCGCCGAGTGGCCCTCCGTCCGTTTCCGCCCGGTGCGGGACGAGTCGCGTGACGCGTCACCCCGCCTTCGGGGTAAGGCGCCGAGTGCCGCTTGCCCCTCACCACCTCGTGGTGGAGAAGTTTACCTTACCTTACCGCCACCGGCTACCCACCGCACACCAGTGACTCCACCGGCTCGAGAAGTGTGTACGAACTGAGCAACCGTGTGTATAGTGTGCGCAGCGGCGGACGCGGCCCTCATTCACAGCCGCCCCGCGCGCGACGGCAGAAGCACAAGGGCTGTTCTCTCCTCGCCCCGTCACTCTGCCTCCTCGCCGACCTCTTCCGAGGCCGCCTGGCTGCTCCTGATGTCTGGCGAGATCGGCGTGTCGATGATGCCGAGCTGGCGGAAGGTGAAGAGGCGGGGCAGGATCTGGACGCGGATGAACATGAGGACGCCGATGGCGGCGGGGAAGACCATCCCGAGCCCGGGCGTGAGCTTGAGCTTCCAGAGCGAGACGAGGCACGCGAGCTGTGTGGGTGTGTGTGGGTGTTGGGGGGGGGGGGGGAGGGGGTCAGATCCGGGGGCGGGGTGGGGGGGGGGGGGGGGCTCAAATCCAGCGGCCCGCAAGCGCAAGACTTATACCCTCTTGCTCCCCCAGATCTGGCCGAGATCTGGCCGAGATGTGGGCTGAGCTACGCCTCCCTCGCCGGACAGCCGATGACCTTCATCGGGCCGACCGGCCTCACACTCTCCTTCACCACGGCGCTGTACGCCTTCGTCACGCCGCGCGGCATCCCCTTCCTGCCGATGTACACGTGGGTGGGGCTGTGGACCTGCGGCTTCCTCTCGCTCGCGGCGTGCACCAACGCCGCCAACCTCATCCGCTACTGCACCCGC